CATTTCTTTGTTCTTAAGCTCTCCCTCGCTCCCCATCCGCAGGTACACCCACAACGCATAATTTACAGTCTGGTCAACATTCTGCATCTTCCATGGTGCAGCAGTCTTGACATGATTCCTGGGCATGATGGGACAAAAATGGCCTCAACCATGCACACACACGCGCGCGCGCACGCACACCCCATTTGGGGGAAAACCCTAAGCTTGCCCTTCCTTTCAGAGGTGTGTGGATGTGAGAAAAAGACAGGCTTTCAGGACTTTTCCCCAAACACTGGATTCATCCGAACGGAGGGCCCTTGGGGTATTGAATATTTGAGTGGGGTGCTTGCAAAGCTTTCACCACTGGTCTCTCTCCTCTGTGACCACTCATCTTTCCCGAAGGAGATGAAACTTTTGCCGTGGGGAACAGGGGAAGAAACGCTGACTACCTTCCTCCCCACTTGCTGGCTCTTGTTGTCCACTAAGTATGCTCCCTGCAGTGGGGCTACCGGAGATGGGGGGACCTCCCCAGAGGCAGAACAGCGTGTGGGGATCTGCAGAAGTAGAAATGCTTCAGGGCATCAGCTCCTACCTGAGAATGCAAGCTTTGTATTTCCTCCTCCTCGCTATTTTTTTTCCTGGCTGAAAAGACCTACAAAGGTGATCTCTCTTCTTCCGTCTCCACACCAGGGACAGGTAGGCAGAGAATCTGGGACTCTGCAAATATTGCAGAACTACCGTTCCTATCACCCTTGACAATGCTGGCTCTGTCTGATGTGAGCGGAAGTCCAGCAACATCCATTTCCTGAACTCCTGTTCTGTATGTGCTTTTTGCAGTCAGTGCCTGTACTCCACTTCACAAAATCAAGATTGGTTTATTTGAAAATGAGATGGCATGCATTTTTATCTATTTTGCACCAACAAAAACTCCAAACTATTCAATGAATTTTTGGAGGATTTGCCATTTAACTATGTCAATAAGTAAGCCCATTTAAATAAACAGATCAAATGCATCTCTATTTCTAAGCAAGTTGTAAGATGGGTTGGAGATGGTTTAGTGGTACCCCTCCCCTCCCCTCCCCACATTTTGCATGCAGTGGGTTCTGGGTTTAGGCCCCAGCATCTGCTGGTAGGGCTGGAAAAACTCCTGGGAGTGAGGCTGCCAGTCTGTGCTGCCGGTATTGGACTAGGTGGACCAAGCTCTGACCTGGCTCAAAAAAACTGCCAATGAGCTCGCTCAGCTGGTACCGAATGTACACTTAAGCCTCTGGAGCAGAGCAGCTATTCCCCCACCCCCTGTGGGAGAAGTTTCTAGTCTTCTGGAGTCTTCATTTGGCTTGAAAAATATATGGGCAACACCTCATCAAGCCCCATAAACTGGGATGGTCTGACGGGAGTTTGAATGGGCCGGCAGGCAGATCAACTTGCTGATGGTCGTGACTGGTTGGTGCAGATTCATGTAGGAAAATACATGCGGATTGCCTTAATTTGCTCCTCACTGTCTCCTGCTCTGTGGCCCCTCGAACCGGCACCTCAGGGCTGAACCTGCAGCGTTCTGATGCAAAGCACCCGCCCTGGCATGGAGCTGCGGGTCCCTCCCTGATCTGACAGAGTGCCGATATCCCGCTTTGCTCTCTTGGGCCCTCCCGGAAAGTCAGTCTTTGCAGCACCTTGGCTGCCTGGGGTTATGCAGCTGCTGCAGGAGCCGGTGGTTGATCCTTCTCCCGTAATCCAGACCGCTCTCACTTCCAGAGCAGCTTTGCCTTCATCCGCAAGCACTCCGGGTCCTGCTGCCTGGTGCTGAGTCAGTGACGCTGCCCCCACATGCGGTGTTGCTTTTTTGGTCTGCCCCCCTCCCCTGGCTGGCAGCAACTGTCACGGGACCGCTTCCTTTGCTGCCCTGCATTTGCAGATACTCCTTTCCACCGGCTCCTCCTTGCCTCCTCCCTCCGGTACCCTTTTTGAAATGGCATTTCCTGGGGGGAAGAAGCAGCGTGTGTTTGAAGGCCAGCTTGCCCCGCTCCCATAGATCACTGCTGAAGCGCTCTCGACAAAACCATGCGATTCATTCTGGTGCCAACCGACTATAAATTTATTTGCTTGTTAATGGCAGCTTCCCGAGTTTGAGTTTTCCCTAAGTAGGAGCATCAAAATGTCAATCTGTCCTCAGGGGTGTATCAACCTCCTGAACTGAACTTGGTAACGAGATTAAAATCTTGGCTGTTCCAAAGGACTGATTCTCTCTCTTTGTCTTTCTCTCTCTTGCACACTCTCTCCCTGCCTCCCTTCCCTCTCTCTCTCATATGCGTTCATTAAGCTCTTTTCTATACTCCGATGGCCAATTCATGTAGTGTGTTTTTCTACCCTGCGTACCCAGTGAAGTCGTGAGCAGGCTTAGAGGCTGTCCCTGCGCCCGTCTCACAAGTACTCTGCTGTGGATTGAAAAAGTGGCCAGCCTTCTTCAACCAGGTGCCCACCAGGTGTTTTGAACATCCTAGCATTCCTCTCCAGGGACTGGCTGGGGCAAATGGAGGTCCAAAATGTCTGGAGGACACCAGTCTGGTGAAAGCTGTGATAGGAGGTCTCTTCCTGAAAAGGCGTATGCCACTTTCAGGGTCTGGAAGGTATTCTCGTTGGGAGGCGACTGCTGAGCAGCGTTGGGTTGGACCCTAGTGGGATCCATCCTCCTGGACTTTGTGAGCATCTTCTCATGCTTAGCCTGGCCTTGCAAAACAAGCTGCGCCAAGAGGAAGTGCACGAATGCTCATGGGACGAAAGTGGCACAACTGACAACCTTCCTCCACATCTGGTGCAGCAGCCCAAACAGCTGCGATATATGACATGGAGGAGGGACCATGCTTGCTCCGTGCCCGGCTCCTGCCTCACGGATCCTGGGTGTGCTTGCCAGAAACCCAGAGTCAGAACCCTGCGAAGTGGACCAGAGTCCAGGGAGCTGAACCCACACATGGGTTTCTCTCGCATCCCTACTTTGGGGCATAAAACTTCTGGGTCCCCACTCAGGTTGTCTACCCAGTTTGGAATGTATTTCGTGAAGGATTCCGAATTCCTTTCACCTTGATCTCTTTCCATCCCAAGCACCAGAAGTGGGTGAAATTTAGTACGTCCTTAAATGAACAAAGGAGATGCTCACCCATCCCACACCATGGTGCGTGGACTTCTCACATAAGCCCCAGTCGGGCCAGGGACTGAGATATCTTTGAGCTGTGCTTTGAGCATGAACTGATTGTCAGATACCTTCCTTCTCCCTAGCTGGAGCATTGCTTCATTTAGCACAATACTGCTGGCATGGATTGAAAGGAACTAGTAAGACTTTTTCCAACTGAATTTAGAGATGCTGATGCGTAAAACTTGGACTGGGCAAAAATAAGGTGGGGCCGGGGAGTCCCAGCTGAGAAACTGTTACGAGAATGATTCATGCTCATACAGGTACTGGTGAAACTTCAAAACAGGGTGGCGATGGCAGGCCTTCTCCTCTTCGGCCCTGCTTCTCCTGCGCATCTCTGGGAAGCCCATGCAGAATCTGGCTTTCTCTCTTCCCTACATGAAAGGCTTGCCTGGAGCAACAGGATCTTGCGGGACACCTGCAAAGGCAGCATGACGCTCGCAAGGGCTCCATTCGCGTCTCGGAGCTGCAGGCTTGGATTAAGGGCATCATCAGCTGATAATTACTCAACTAGTTAGAAATATTCTGCTTTCCTATCAAAGTCACCCAAGGCAGTCGACAACACGGGGAAGCGATACGATACAGCAATGAAACAAAATGAAAGATAAAAATGGTAAACAAGAGCAGCCATCCGCCAGGCAGCTGAAACCGGGGATGTTGTTCAATCTGTTGCATTTGTGTTTCAAGGATTGTCAGGTGCCTTTTGTTCCATTGTCTGCTCATTGTCAGAACCAGATCCCCCCCGTCCCACTTGGAAAGGTATGCAAAGCAGTCTGATTTCATAGGCATGTAACATTTTGCATATTCTTCTTGTTTACTTACGCTTTGCGATCCAGACCCATGCAAGTTGAGCGCGACACGGTGGAGCCTGGAGAAAGAGATGCATCCAATGGGGGTTGTGTGTGTTAAGAAGGGATACCTATTAGCATATTTGCCAGTAATATATGTATTTCTGTATGACTGTATTTGCATACCGTTCCAGAAAGTAAAACAAAGGGAAGCACATCAGAAGACGCTGGTCTAACCTGAACCCCGATATCTCTAGTTGGAACCACACGCTTCCTGAAAAATCAAACTTATCTCAGTTGAACAACCCCTTCTCATGTTCACCGAACATGGAAGAAGGTTCTTGGGGCTGTGTGAGCTAGCTCTGTTTACCGCTGGGATTCCCTCCTCAACTAGTTATGTGAGGGGGTATCATGGAGAGGTGGATAGAGACCTATTTTCCCCTGCGGAGGAGGGTGGGATGCATTCCAATGGAGCAAAGCTCAGGGAACCAAGGTTCAGTTTGGATGCCAGGAAGTACTTCCTGACAGTTAGGGCCCCGAGGGTCTGGAATGGGCTTCCACGGGGGGTGGTTGAGACCCCATCGGTGAGGGTGTTCAAGGACAGGCTGGACGTCCACATGGTGGGCGTGTCATGAGAGGAACCAGCTGGAGTTGGGGGTCAGACTAGGAGGCACCTTCTGACTCAGTCTGTTTCTATGTTCTAACTGTGAGAACCCCACCGCTTGGTCCTCCTCATAATGGATCGGTGCCAGGGTTGGCCAATCAGAATCAATGGTGACAAAACATGCCCATCTTTGCCTAAGTTGATCTCTGGCTACATGGGATTTTTAATTGGTTAGGTACTACCTATTTCATCATTTTTCTGTTCTTATTGTGCTTTAATGAACCTTTTGATGTTAAGTTTTACTTAAGATTTTGTTTTTAATCTGTACATTATTGCCACCATGAGCACCAGATTTCGGTGGGAAGCCAAGACATACATTAAAAAAATACTAATAATGGTAATCATTATTATTGATTAGGCACTGCTGTTGGTGAGAAGCGTCCAGAAGCATTCAAGATTCATTGCTTATAACAGGCAGAAGAGCTTTCCAATCTGCCTGTGAAATCAGGTGAACAAAATCCCTCACCGGAGCCTCGGTGGGAAAACAGATGCTGCATTTTGGGCCATGCTTTCCCCAGGTAAATAAATTTCAACATAATTCCAAAATATCTTTTTAGCTGCTTATAAAAACACCAGAGTGAATGCCTTTTGCCTAATTGCTACAATGGGCCCAAAACAGCCATTCTGGTTTGCGTTTTCATATTTCAATAAACTTTTATTTATCCCCATTTAGGAAAGAATCTTCCTGCTTGTAAAACACACAGTCACCGCCACTAACCACATTTGCCAGGCGTTTCGTTCCATTTCATGTGGGCATAGCAGAAGCATTCTCTCTCTTGACCGGTCCTCATCTCTGCTTCTCCTGCAGGTAAGTTTCAAAACACCCCGGGGGAAGTGCATAGGTGATTTCTAACCACAGCTCAGCTGCCCTTACCTCCTGCAAATCAAGCCATATAATTTGGAACCCTTGCATAAATCCCCCGTTTTGTGCCACAGAGATGTTGCCTTGACACCCTGTGACGGTTTTCGATTGATTGCCTTCTGCTTTGCCCTACAAGGAATCAAGGATTTCGAGCTACTGTGAAGATTCGAGGAGGTTTTGAAAAGTCTGGTTCTTACACGAGAGAGAGAGAGAGAGAGAGAGAAGAAAAAATCCACTTTCACACAGGGCACTGTCACCTTTTCCTTGTGCGCCAAGGTAAACGTTTCTTCTATGTTTGGTTATTGTTTGCCTGGGGATGTGTTATTCAACATGTGTGGATATGAATGGTAATCCATAGTGAGACGTTAAGAGATGCCAAGGTGGCTGAGGTGGGGATGAGCCGTCAGGCAGAGAAGGAGGGGAGAGAAAGACTAGGTTGCTGCTGGTGTGGAAAATGTGGGTTCAGAAGAGCTCGCTTGTGCACTGCGATTCAGAATCCACCCCACCTTCTGGATCATTTTTGGACAGGTACTTGAGGACTAGCGAGTTCTCCAAGGGCAGCCCTTTCTTGGTGCTCTCCAGGCTGCTTTGCCAAATCCAGGGGCAGGCCCTCTTTCAGACTGTGCCCAGGGGGGAGAATCAAAGTTTGCCAGATTTAGCTAACCCTGGACTGGTCCTGCATCGTCGGTTTGATCTTGGTTCCTGGCTTGCTTCTGAGTCCACTCGACTGCTTCGTCTTCTGGCTTTCTGGTCCTGACTGCTCTTTGGTCCTGAGTTTGGCTTTGTTCCACCTTACCTTCTCGCCCCAGGGAAGCTCCTCCAGTTGCTCAAGATTACACCGTATTGTGTGCACGCAAGTTGCTTTGAGGGTGTTTGCTCTTTGCCGAGGTGCACGCTAATCTTTCTGATTTCATTCCCTGTCTTTTCCCTTTCCAACTCATACACTGGAATGTGTTTTTCTTGGCCAAAGAACAGACAAGAAGGCCCTTATTCAAAGTGTCTTTTCCAAGTGGCAGATTTACTCCACTTTCACAGCTGTTGCAGCTGCCACATGGAAGAAGCCAAAAGAAGAATCCCCAAATTCATTGATTCTGGCTTTTATAGCAGCTTCTCCCTTAAGTTACTCCGAGTTTTGTGAGGAATTCCAAAAGAGATAAGGGGTCAAAAGTTCAGAAGAGAGGCACCTGTTGGTAGCCCAAAAGAGTACAATATACCCTCCATGGGGATACAGGAAAAACACTCACACATTTATCATGGCATAAGCTTTTGAGGACCAAAGCTCATTTCTTCAGATGCGTTACTCTAAGCTATCTTATATTCTAGTGTATCGCACATTGGAAAAGAGTAGCGGAACAAGGACCAGGCAGTCTCAAAGCAATTACCCTTTTTTTTTTGGTTTGCTTTTCTTAATGTTGGCCTTTAAGAAAAGAACATTTGAAGTGATAGACTAGTGCTTTGCAGAGGCTCAAACCCACCTTCTTTATTTATTTATTTGATGAGCAGCCCGCCCCATTAGCCACATGGCTCCCTGTGTACCCTGCCTCCCATGGAGGTAATGGCTGGGTCTGTCGAACACAACCCTCAAGGGCTGACTCCATAGGACAAGCGTGTGTCGTCCCTGAGCAGCCCACAATCTGCCTCTCAGCCAGGGGCTCTCTCCACGTGTTCATGGTTAACATGCCATGGCTGGTTAGACCTGCAGGGTTCAGACATGATGATGCCCCATGTTCCTGCAGCAACCAGGGCAAGCCATCCTGGACCCTGAAGTGTGGGTTGTCGCTTTGTTTGAACCCAGTCAGTGATTAACCCTCTCACGTGGGTGCTTTGCTGAAACGGTCTTCCCTCTGTGTAGTTCTGAACTTTATCCCCAAAGTTAAGGCCAGACCTGCCTTGGACCAGTTTCTGAGGCAGACCATGTTAAGGAAATTGAGCCTAACCAGAGTGGCTTAATAATAGGACGGATGGATACAGCATGATCCTCTGCAGCAGATCAAAAGATAGAAAAAGTATGATATTTTCACAAGCAAACAGTCATGTCAACCCCCCCACCCTTCAACGGCAGTCCTATTTTCACCCCCCTCCCCATGAAAGGGACCCCTGGCAGATCTTTAGGGACACAAGACATTTGCCTGGACAAAACTTCCTAGCTCTGTTTCTTTATCTCTCCCATCACCCATTAAAGCAGTTCTGATGTGCATTTCTTGTATCTGAGGTCCGACACCACATCTGCGGGAAGAGCTAAATATATCTGATCTCTCGGAAGAGGTCCTAAGCCTTTATACTCTTACCTCCAAAATAATGCTTAAAAAAAATCCACTGATGTGTTCTGTCTTCATTTTGTCAACTGCCAGATGTTGTCAGAGATTAGATTTTTTATTTTTTATTTTATTTTTTTTTGCAGATCAAAACAAGTAATAGGCCTTTCTGTGATATGGATGATAATCATAAGCCAGAACTACAAGGGAGGGCAAGACAGTGTGTGGAAAAGAGATGGGAAGCAAGTTACAGGACAATCAGGTGCCCTGCATATGTGTATCCAACCCAGGCTGGAGGAGTCACCCAGCAGGGCTAGAAATGTGCATGGCTGAAATTCTCATTTGCTAATGGAAAATCCAGCTGTTCTTTGAAAACTGAAAATTCTGACTGTCTCTTATGGGAAGGTGGCATGAAACTGTGCCCTGTTTAGCCGTTGGCCGAGTAGCACCAGCTAGGAAAGAAGAAGGGGCAGGAAGAGTGTTTCATTCCTGGGGAGACCCCCAAACTGACCTCCGGCAGGCTGAAGAGAGCCCCCCACCCTGAAACACGCACTTGGAAATGGCCAGAGCAGGATGAAATGAGAAAGCTCTTTGAGAAGGTTGGGGCATGGCTCTTCTGGGCTGAAGGAAGACGTGTGGGCAACGAATGAAAAGGACAGGCATTTACAATGGGAGCTCACAGCCGACATGTGAAAACGCACTGATTTAAAAATAAAAATAGAAATCTCGGAGCAATGTAGGCAATGCTTAAAAAAATCTCATGGTGCCATTTGCACAAATGTGAAGCCCTGGAGCAGTTAAAAACAAGCACAAACAAAGTGCAGATTAAGGGACCCTAAAATAATATTGATGATAATTATAGGAGATGCATTTTGCAAAATGCCAAACCATTAAAAAAGGAGCACATTTGCTTATTGCTTTGACTCACGACAAACTGAGTGGACACCAGTTAGGAAAAGAAACCCTCAGAAAAGACCAGCAATCCCATCAAGATGTCACCGCTGAAACATGGACCTCATACAGCCTTACTCCTTCCTGTTCACCTTGCGGCAGTTCTGGTATGAGGCAGGAAGGACCTTTCTTTCTGCCCTGATACCTGAACCTTGCCCGTTACCAACAGTGCCACAAATGGACCGCTCCCTGGCAGTTCTCTGGACCTCTCAGGAATGTTGTGGAGAGAAATAGGAACTGCCACTGGAAGAACTGCAGTGAGGTGGGTGGGTGGGAAAGGAGCTTGTCTGACTCAGAGACATGTCTCAGCTGTGGGAATTGTAGTGCTCATCTCCTGTTGAGGCGAGACTCGCAGCCTGCCAGAATTTGTAATCTAAGCCTGAAGGAATACAAACTTCAGTGACAGCTCTAGTCTTAGACAATTACTGGGGTTGACAGCAGAGTTCAAGTCCAGGTATGAGCTCGGACGAAGGAAGAGGGAGAGAGGCGGAAAAGGGGCGGTACTGCAAAACAGAGAGAAAGAAATAGAGAAGGCAAGCAGGCCGGTTGCTTTTGTGTGTCGCCCTTGGACACGTTTGTACACTCCCGGCTTCAGCTGAACCCACAAGTTTTCCCCTCCCCTGGCCTTTCTGATTCCACATGTCTTTTCCAGATTCCTCTGACGGAATGAAACGAACTACCTTTGCACTGGTGGAGTCATGAACATCACATAAAGCAAGTCCCCAAAAAGCAAAATCCTGCATTTCCATGGATCTCAATGCAGACAGGTGTGTGTCCTACTGACTGCTTAGCATTTTCAATATGGTTATATCTTCCTCAAGTAATACTTTGATTTTCCTGGTAGTGTGTTTTGCTGTTTTCTTGGTGGCTTCGTGGTTTTGATGCCCTGGAATCATTTGCCAATTGGGCAATATGTTGTTGCTGTTATGCGCCATCGAGTCATCTCCCACTTAGGACTAAAGGCCCTTCAAAATATCTCCGTGATACCCTTGCGCAGCTCTTCTAAATTCAAGCCTGTGGCCTCCTTGATGGAATTGGTCCATCTCATATTTGGTCCTTCTTTTCATAGAAACAGAGCGAGTCAGAACGGGTCTCCCGGGCCATCTAGTCTGACCCCCAGCTCCAGGTGGCTCTGCTCATGACATGCCCACCATGTGGACGTCCAGCCTATCCTTGAACACCCACACCGATGGGGCCTCAACCACCTCCCGTGGAAGCCCATTCCACACCCTCGGGGTCCTAACTGCTTTCTTGGACAATATACAAATCTAAAATAAAACAAAATAAAAATCCCTAGAAACACCCATGGTCTCATAGAGCTAACCCAAGGTATTTTTTGCCTTGAGGTAATGGTCAATAGAATGTGTTGGTTCAGTCTACATGACAACCTATGTGTTTGTTGTTATCCTCATCATCACCATTGACCATGATTGGTCTGTTGTAGTTTCTGTTGCCTTGATATGCAACTACCAGAGTCCCTCGGACAGAGCAGCAACTTAAGAAGTCATCCCAGCTTCTGTGTGGAAGAGTGGAAGAATCTATGTGGAAGAATCAGGAAGAGGTAGGCAACATAACAGGGAATGATATCCTTGGGTCAGAATCTCAGGTGCAGTGGCTGATGGGTCATATGCCGGCACGGGGAAGGCTGAGTTGGGATGAGGGAAACCACAACAACATCAATCACCACCACAACAAGGACCCCAAGGGTGTGGAATGGGCTTTCATGAGAGGTGGTTGAGACCCCATCGGTGCGGGTGTTCAAGGATAGGCTGGACGTGCACATGGTGGGCATGTCGTGAGCGGAGCCGGCTGGAGCCGGAGATCAGACTAGATGGCCCGGGAGTCCCCTTCTGACTCACTCTGCATTCCATATGCAGAAGCAGACTGGACTGAAAAGCAATTCTTCAAGGCGAAGTGGTGGGGGATTTCAGGGTACGTCCTGTGATGTGCACACACACATCTGTCCTCCAGCACCTCACTCCTCCTCCCTGCACCCATCATCCACCACCTGAAGCACACACATTATTGTGCCTAATGTTTGCTCCTGCCCCACTCTCTGGATGCAGGTCTCACGTGCCTGTTCAGGAGGCATTCTCAGCAGATCTGAGAAGATGCACAGAGACTTAGGTGAAGGAACAGTCAGCGAAATCCACATAGCACTGTTGACGGAGCTCAGCCGCATTTCTGAGCCAAGCTGGAATGAAGGATGACCTGGAGACCCCAAGAAGAGCAAGGTGACACAGTTCTGAAATTCGGCATCCACCTGGGACGTCCCCAACTCTCCAAGAGTTTTCCCCAGCTGTTTTATGCTGTGAGAGATGGAGAGCAGGCAGGAAAGTGGTGGTGGAGGTGGGGAAGAGAGTGAATTGGCACGCACCGTCTGTTGCTGGAGATAACGCAGTCCTAGTTCAGAGGTTACTAATTGGGTTTCTGCTTCCCTTTCATATTCAGCATGACTGAAAATAAGAACACACATTTTAACTTACACCTCAGCCACCCAGCACCCATTTTCCCAACGACACATGGGTGCCCCCCTCCCCCATGCAACTGGAGTGGCTGAACATGGAAAGATACGCACTATTTAATTTGCATACCAGTGGAAGGAGCGAAAACAACCCCAAAAAAGCAGGAACGCGGTGAACCTTTCTGGCAATTTCCTGAGATGGAGGACATCTCTTCCACTCAAACAGAGCTTCACACTATGTGGCAGGGCCAACTCTAAATGGCTGACTGTATGACACATCTCCAGCGAACAAAATGTAGCTTAGTTACCCAGATTTGAGAGCGTGCAAGAGATGCGCAGTGGGGAAAGGGAGAAACTCTGCTAGCTCATCACATCCTTTCCATAGGAACCATTTTCTCTGGAGTGTTTCTGACCCTTGCCTGTCCCACTCCACCAACCAGAGCAGTTCAAGAGAAGCTACCCAGAAACAACCGCCCCACCCACGCAACTTTCTGTGCTGCCCTTTATGGCTGAAATGGCCGTCTTGAAATATCTCAATGAACAACCTCCCATATTTCCATTAATGCTCTCCTCAGCACTCACATTTTCAGAGAAGTCTTTAGACGGCTGCTCTTCCCTTCATCCTTATACCTTCTTGTAACTTAATCCAGGCATTGCAAAGTATTAAGGATAGATGATTCTATCAATTTTAGTTTCATGTCGTTTCTCATTTTTCCAACTGTACATTCATTTCCTCTCATTTCTGCATGACTGTTTTTTTAAGTCAGCACGAAAACCTGTGTGCATTTTTGCATACCTTTCTGCTGATATAGAATTTAATATGCACATCTTTCCTTTTTTTAATTTTGGCACACTTTTTCCTAATGTCCATATTTTGCAAGCAGTTTTTGCTAAGATGCCATGCTTTTTTAGGTTATTAGCTTTGATATACTAATTTTTGTAAACACTTGTGCTCACAGTTTGGATAGAAAACCATCTTGCAAAATTTGGAGAGTGCCAATATCCAAATACAACTGTTATTTAGTTCATTGACTGGCTCACAAAGTGTGAATTAGGAAAGTCTGTGGCACCTCAAACCAAGCCAACTTCTCTGTCTCTAGAAATCTTCACATATTTCCCCCTGACTCTGTCACTGCTTCCTCTGTACTCTGTTGCCCTGTCTCAATTTTATATGCGAGTACCTCGGACAGATTTGGGAAAAGTCTTCTAAATGTTTTAGACTACAAATCCCATGATCCATAACTGTTTGTCATGCCGGCTGGAGCTGACGGGAGTTAGACATGAACCACCTGGATGGGACCATGTAACCTACTCCTAGGCTTGTCCAACGCCTTTGCTTAACCCAGGGTCACCAACACAGGTTGTAGTTATAGAGGTCCTGAGATGCTTCCATCCAAGGAAAGCCCACCGTTGCTGCAGCTGTCCCTCGCACTGCCCAACAGCTCTCATAAGAAGGACGTTCCCCACATGTTCAGCTGAATTCTGCATCCTTGCCGTTTCCATTCACTGGTTCTGGTCTTGCCATCTGGAACAAGATAGACCAAGCCTACTCTCTAGAATAACCCTTCAGATGTCGGAAAACTGGAACCATGTTTCCACCATGGTGGTGATGGTGATGATGATGAATTACATTTCTATACTGCCCATAGTCGAAGTTCTCTGGGCAATTCACTAGAATCATACATTTGGAAAGGCCATTGGGTCCAAACCCCTGCTCAATACAGGACTCAGGTCCCCCATCCAAACTCTAACCAGGTCTGACCCTGCTTAGCTTCCAAGATTAGGCAAGATCAGGTACTTCAGGCTACATAGAAACTGTTTTTTGATGACTGATTCTTCCAGCTGCCTCCTGCCCCAAGCGTTTCTGCTGTTCCACACCAGACCAGGATCCTCACCATGCTCTAGACCAGTGGTTTTCAACCACCAGGCTGCAGACTGGTGCCAGTCCATGAGAGATGCCCTGTCTGTCCGTGGGGGTGGGGGGGGCACATCCTGCTTGCCACGGACCAGCACGGGGGCTGGCTGTGCTCCACCACTTCTTCCGTGGTGTCCCTGGGGGATGTACCAGTGCCACTCACCAATTTCGGTGTTGTGTTCTTTTGTCGGCATTTTGTTGTTGTTGTTGCTCTGTTTCTGGTTGTTGGAGAATTTTCGTTTTTGTGGTATTGTGTTCAGAAACCAATACATAGAATACTGTGTTATGTATTATGTATGGTGCTTTTTCTTTCTGCCTCAGCAGTCCCTGAGGAGGTTTTCCTGTTTTCACTGGTCCCCAGCTGTGGAAAGGTTGAAAACCACTGCTCTAGACATGCACCAGTTTGTCATCATCCTTCTTGGAATGTGATCCCTTAGAAGTGGGTACAATGTTCCAGCTGCATCCTGACTTTGTATTATGTAGGTATTCCCCCCACCCCGACTTTTATTTTGTTCTGAGAACATGCAATATACCTACACTGCTGAAATTTGGAAGACCAGGACTGGAGACTGCATTTAAACTCATCTTCCTTCAGAGAACAGAGGTAGGATATAAATTCAATCAATAGCTATATACATCTTAAAAATTAGGACTTCTTATCAGGTGTTGCATCCTGTTGCAGTCTTTTTTCTTAGCTGCCTGGGGTTTTGCAATTCCAATTTTCCTCTCTTCTGGACATCTCACGTCTTCTTAGATCTCCCTTCATCAAAGTGTTTATGTGGCATCACACTGGTAATAACATTACATTTGGGTTTATTTATAAAGACATAAGGTAGGATACTTTTCTTACTAATGGGAAGGGGAGGAAAGGTAAGTAATTCCACTGCAAAACAACACAACCGCTATAGTAAAACATTAATGATTCTGTATAGCTCCACAGAACTCTGTCTTAGTCCTGACTGTGATTTATGTTTCTGCTCCTCTCTGTTTTAGTGGCAGAGATGTCTTCAGCATTGCGTGTGCTCAGTTACAGGCCAGTTGGTAGCATAATAGAGTGTTAGGACAATATATCCGGGAGGCAGGGAAGATGAACATTAAAGGTGGACTCCACAAATTGGTTTCAGCATTGACAGGGTAGCTGTATGAATCTGATTTCCTCTTGGTCCAGCTCCAACTCCAACCCTTCTGGCTGAAGTCCCCATCTTGCTTTGGAGAAACCATTTCTTGTGAGGGATGTTTCTCTGGCATCAGGGTCCAAAGAGCCTGGTAGAGTTGCAGGATAAAGCAGGAATGCAGAAGCCCCTTTGGTCCAAGGGCTGAAATCCTTTTCAGAGAAGCTCTTGGAGGCTGCATCTTAGTGGTGTTAGAGCCAAGGGTAAACAGTGAGGGAGGAAAATGCAAACCAAACTTGCATATTTAACTCAAAGCTCTTCCAGTTGGTCCTCAAACCTTGGTAGATGCATTTCAAGTCTTTAAAATGAGGGAGAAGACACAAAAGCCAGGAAAGAACAAAAGGCTGGGTGATGGGGGGAAAGGATGCCCGGCCATCTAGAGGGTTGTAGTTGGCCCCAAGCTTGAGATTCTGCAGCAATGGTATGAAGAACTTGGCTCTTTGTGAGGAATGAATGCCTCTTTTGGAAACCCCTAAAATAAAGGGGAAGGGATGGCTCGATTCTGTACATTTACTTGCTACTGGATTTAACAGAACATATTGCCAAGTAAGTACATAAAGAATTGTAAACCTAGCTCCCTTCGCCGAACACCCCACCCCACATTACTCTACAGAATGCCAAAGAAATAATATAATATTTCAAAAATGCCACGGAAATAATGGGAAAGAAATCTGCCTTAATGCTGCCTTGATGATTGCATATATTCCAGTCCAGCCAACACACCCAATCCTATCCAGACTTAGCTTGGATCAAAACTCATTTAATTCAATGGGAGTTATGTACAAGTAGATAGCAATGCAATTACGCTGTAAGCCACTTTGTGCATCCATGTCATAAAGGTTTCATCCATGCCATAAATCATGCGCTAGTCATCACCTGTTAGCATGATCTTAGAATCGACCTGGCAACGATTCCAGTTTTTTGAAGTGTTCATCACAGCTTGGCAAAATAATCAAGGTCTTGTTAAAATTTGCTCAGCTTTGGCGTTGTCCTTCAAATTCTTCAGAGCTTACTTTTTTAGAGCAAGGCAAAGCACTTGCCGACAGACTAGATCTCAGTGATCTAGTTTGCAAAGTTTTAGTGAGTATCCCGCGATGATGACTCATGACGCAAACTTGCAAGCTGGTTTCTGTAAGAAAGGATTGCAAAATTGGATTCCACATAAATTGAGCGAATTGAGGTCGATGATCAGAATAGAAGGCGAGAGAGGTGCTATTTTCTCCATTTCTCTCTTGCACCCCTCAAAACTTAGAGCATTAAATGCTTTGTGGAAAGAGCAAAGGGCAGACAGAGGATGGCAAGATTTCTGGAACACTTATGATTGTGGACTTGGATGGCTTGAGCTGATGTATTGGAGATCCTTGGCATAGCTTGGGTAGACAGTGGACCACTGATCAAAGGACGGCGGAGAATCTGGCCTTCCTGATTCCCTGGAATGGCAAATGTTGGACTGGGCAAATCTAGGAATGGAGGGAGAATTTGCTTATGTTTTCAGAATCATATGCAAATCAAACTCAGTTAAGGTGCAAAATTCACACTTCTCCAAATTTTGCAATGGAGCTCTCAAGGAAGGAAGGAAGGAAGGAAGGAAGGAAGGAAGGAAGGAAGGAAGGAAGGAAGGAAGGGAGATCTATGTGAACAATAGCATTACAAATGTTTAGTTCTGCTGTATTTATGGACCTCTCATGCACCTAAATTCTTCTCCGGTTTGAAAGCAGATTTGCAGGTGGCAGTAAATTGCAAGGTGCTGGAAAAACAGCTTGCAAAGATGTGTATATTAGGGGGGAAGTGCATACAGAAATGAATATATTACAAGAAATGCATGCTAAACTGCAGGTGAGCCACATTTAAGACTGGAAAAAATGAGAAAAGAGGCAATCTAGTCTGTCAAGAAATCCCGAGTGAGCATTCTTTGCCCTGCAAGGACAAAATCTTCAGAAGAACGTTAGGGCAGGTAAGAGGAAGAACTTTCTCATGCAACATATAGTTAAAGTATGGAATTCACTGCCAAGAGAAGTGGTGATGAGCACCGATTTGGATGGCTTTACATGGAGATTGGACAGATTGATGAGGGAGGAGGCCATCAAGTTGCTAGTAGCCTTGGTGGATACATGCTCACTTGACCAGAGGTGGCCAGCCTGCATGCGCCCATGCTGAGGAGCTTGGGCAGGAAGAGGTCTTGCTCCCCTCCTGCTTGGAGGATCCTGTGGGCAGCTGGTTTGCCTCCAGGCACATGGAGTGCTGGACTGGATGGGCCTTTGGCCTGATCTGGCAGGGCCTGTCTTGTGTTCTTAACATGGTGGATCATTTAAAGTCAACCATCCAACTTGACTATGCAAGAAATCAGTACGCTCTTTTCTAGTATATTTCAAGAAAGGCACCTAGCTTTCCTTTTCATTGTTTGCTTTCAAAATCAATAGGAGTGCGAGTGATGTAGAACAAAAGGCAGAAGCTTTATTCCAAAGCCCTTGTTTTCCCCTTAGTTCTTGGATTTTTTGGTTGGGTTGTTTGTTTGAAGAAAAACTTCAGTGAAATTCTGTTGGCTGCTCCTCTTTTCCTCCCCACTCGCACTTCACCTGGGCACCCACCCCAGACATAAATCAGTGTCACTCAGGATAAATGGAGGTCCGTAAATGCCGCGGACACTAATGACAACATTCATCAAAACCCGAACGGTTCCATATTGCAGCAGTTGCTGGGGCTGCCGCAGCCGCACGGATTAAGTTCTCCTTGCCGCTGTCACCCTCCTTCCTGCTGCAGCCCCAGCAAACGGCCGTTTGCCTTCATTTGGCCTGGAGCAATGGCTGCCTGCATTCCAATCAAGCCCTGGCTCCGTGGATGACTGGCTCGCCTTTGGAAAATGGCTCGCCGATCCCTGGGTTTGATGGATTATTTCTGGGCCTGACTCAGATATCTGCTCAAAGGCTTAGCTTGTATAATTCCCAATTCACAGAAGGGAATATTGAGGGGTGGCAATTTGCCTTTTGCTATCAGGTGAATTCGCTGTTTGGTCTCCTCTGGAATGTGCAGTGTGTCTTGCTTACTTGACTTATCTGGAGCCGTCTTGATTCTGTAGGAGCCGTCCTTGCTATGCTGGAGATTGTTCTTGCTTGTGCCATGCAGTGGCTGGGGTTGCTCTGTGTGGCAGATGCATTCACATTTATCCCCTTCTTTTTCCCACTCACCAGCTGGGGACCAATATAGAAGACTACTCAATACTAATAGATGTGCTTTACACACCACTGGAGATAGTCAATGTCTGGATTAGGGTTAAAGAACTTTAATTTCTTCCCTTCCAGGGTTGCTCGATTAGGATGGGGATTCACCTATAATTTGCTTTTGAAAAATCAGATTAAGAAATGAGGATTCTGCACTCAGAGGTTTTTAATTCTTTTTTCCCCTTCTTTGAAAGCAAGTCAACTTAATTTGCACTTCCTGGACCACTGTGAGGATTGGGAAAAGTTATGCTTCCGAAGACAGACATTTATGTTTTTTATCATGCAATTCTCAGCCCCAAACCTGTGAACACACCATTTGTATTAGGGACAAGTTGTACAATAATACATACCTACTTCAAAAAAATCTAGGCCAAGGCAGAAATCAAACGTAACAGACTGAGGACTGAATACACAGGAAGCTGACACAAACCAGACAGTGGCAGATTGGTCCAGCCCAAGCAATCCCTGACTCTTTACCAAGAACAGAACATCCTATCACCACACAATAAGAGAGAAAATAAGCCAGAAACTCTTCTGCAGAGACGGGGATCATGTGATACCCAGTAACTAAATGGATCTTCCAACGTATTTTATTGTTTGCTTCTTGTATCTCTGTACCGCCTTTCTGAATTCAGCCAAGATGTTTTATAAAAGGTTCTCTGTGTGGGAGGGCGGAGGTTATAATGAAATAAAAACATAGGAAAAGTTTAAAATCCATCACCACAATGTTGAAATAGGGGATTTTCTTGACCCATCCTGTCTCAAGTGAGCCTTTGCCCATTCCGTTGAGAGCTTGGTTGGAGAGTCATGGAGAAATGGGGGACTGGGCCTCTTTTTCTCTTCACAATCAAGGGTGCTTCCGAATGCTTGAAGCAAACACTCTACAGAAAATCGGTGCCCTCGTCTCTGACACCACTTCCCCCTACACTGCAGAGCTGGGGACCTTGTGAGAATTTCAGGTTCCAAGATCCTGTGTGGGGGAGGCAGGAAAACAAATAATCTGTGCAACTATGAGAGTGCCCTTAGCCAACAGATATTCTCACAGGTAATGCCATTTCCTTCTTCCTTCCAGTCATTGAAGAAGACATTGGATGAGGAAAGAAGCTATTGGACAGGTCGCTTTGAGTTTCTTGTAAGAAAAAAGTGGGATATAAATCTAAAGAACAAGCACACAATAAAAGGTAAAGGTAAAGGTTTCCTCTTGACGTTAAGTCCAGTCATGCCTGACTCTAGGGGGCGGTGCTCATCTCCGTTTCCTGGCCGAGGGAGCCAGCGCTTGTCCCCAGACAGTCTCCATGGTCGTGTGGCCGGCATAACTAAACACCGAGGTGCACGGAACGCTGTTACCTGCCCACTGAAGTGGTACCTTTTTATCTACTCGCATTTGGATGCTTTTGAGCTGCAAGGTTGGCAGGAGCTGGGGCGGAGCAACGGGAGCTCACCCCATTGTGCAGATTCGAACCGGCGACCTTTCGATCAACCAGCCCAGCAGCACCGCGGTTTCAACCACTGCGTCACCTGCAGTCCCATGCACACAATAAGTTACAATAAGTTACATTTAATTCATGGGGATGTACATTGGAGCAAGCACGCATAGAATTGTTTCAAGCATGATGGAAAGAAAACACACAGATGAGACAGGAAGGAGAAGAGCTCAGACGTTGCCAGTCCAGGAATGGAGGAAGGTTAAACTCATATTGATCCGCAACAGGAAAACATATTCTTGTTGCTTTTCTCTCTGCTTTACAGATGATCCTGAATCAGATATAAAGGAGCCATTTCAAAGCCTGGCTTTGGAAAGATACGGCAGATAAACAGCTGTTTGCTGACACTGAAGGTGCCAAAGCGATTTTTGATGATAAAAGCTGAGCTGGAGGAATGGAGAATGCTGAACATGATAAAATAGGGAGGGAGGTGACAGGCAGAGCAAAAATCCAAGGACACACGGTTCCATTAAGCTCAGCTGAAAGTGAGAGAGCACAAAGAGGCATACGGAAATTAAAACTGCCCTGCTGGGACACACCAATGATCCATCTAACTCAGCAGTCTTACTTCTGTCCATGGCTAGGCAGAGGCCCTGGGGAAGCTCGCAAACAAGGCCGGATGGAATTTCTGAGCAATCAGGAGTAAAGTGTCTCTGCTTCGTAAAAGGGATCATGCTAGCTGTTGTGTCCACTGACAGTGCCAGCATGTAGGCATTTATTAAAATTCATTTAAAAGATGCTCAGAAGAGGGTCTGTTGCACAGAGCAACACCCAAATGCTATCTTCAGCGCTCGTGCTGGAAGCAGGATTGGTGTTATGGTAGGGTGCCTGCTAAAGGTTCTGGGCCCCAGCTGGGGAAGGGTCCCTGGAGTTTCTCCTCCATTTCGGCCATGGTAAACTGCCTCTTGCTGGGTCCTGTTCCATGGCTGTGGTGAGGAGGAGATCCCATGGCCTACTTGCTCATTGGCTCTCTCCTGGTCAGGCAAGCAAGTGGTCGCAATGGTAAGAGAGTGTATGAGGCGCAGAGGCAGCTGGTGGCCAGGGTGGCCAGGGTTTTCAATTCAACCTTTGGGAGGGGCAGAAAATAGTCACCTTGGAAATGTCTGCTGTAGGAGTAGGAGATGCTTGGGCTTTGACTATCTTAGGCCTTGTGGGAATGTAAGCCTTGTGCTTGTGCCGAGATGGCAATCGATATATGTTCTTGGGAAAACTCAAGATGTAGTCTGTATCTAACTCTTTTTTTATTCTTATTTTTTTGGACACAGGATGAAGTCTTTGCCTATTGTAAATCAACATCGATGCACACAGGTAAGTGTTTGGTAACTGGTTCTTGCAGTTTGCCATCCCTCTTGACCACGGCATCATACTACTGACTCACGTTTAGCCTGCAGTCAACCAGCACCCCGAGGTCCCTTTCACAAGTGCCGCTCTCCAGCCACTTGTTCCTCTGTCCCTCATCTCACTGCAGGGGGCTAACAAGGGCAATACATGGGTAAATCCCTTGATGTAGTGAAATAAACTACTCACACACTCTCACGTTAGGATAATCACAGCTTCATGTCATGACGTGAAGAGACGGATTTGTGAAGACTAACCAAGCAAAGGCTCTTGGAGTTGTGGCAGACACTCAATGGAAATGTTATCCCTGTGAGAGGCTACTGAGGAAAGGGTCAATTCTGTCCTAGGCCGGGCTTAGCTTCCAAGATTAGGCAGGATCAGGCACTTCAGGCAATGTGGAACCTATGCGAACTTTAAGAGAAAGCAAAACAAAGAACAAGATGTCCTTATCTGGCACCACCCTTGAGAAGCCAGTGCAGAACTGCAAAACGTCTATGTAATGGTACCCCCGGCTCCCAACTTCCCAGTCCACAGACTGAGTGGAGCACTCCAAGAGGCTATTTGTTCTCACCTGTAGTCCTTTCTGCACCTGCTAAGCCACTGCAGGTAGAACATAACACACCACCATCCTTGTGAGAAGTAATTGTAGGCTTCTTCCCTGCCCCTCTATCTATCTATCTATCTATCTATCTATCTATCTATCTATCTATCTACCTACCTACCTACCTACCTACCTACCTACCATACTCTCCAACCTTTCATAGATGAAAATGGGTACTTGCTCATGGCATCTTTATTTCATGTCAAGTAACAGTGCCTGACTTTACACCACAGTATTACACATTGTTGAGCACTCTGTTCCCTCCACTGCATAAATTTGTTCTGCAGTAGCCCGGCATTCACCGTTCTAAAAGTCCAGGAACGTATTTGTTCTTTTGATTAAAATATGTAAGCCTGAATGAACATACAGGTCTATTTGTGGTCCATGGTGGTTTCTCAAGGATTGTGTTGGAAGTCACTTCTAGCCAGTTCTTGGACCAGTTCAATTTTGAACACACACACACACATGCATTCCCATAGGCAACTTCCCCTACCATATGCATTCTGTACACTTCTTGACATTTTACATGCTGTAATATATGCATCTGCATGTAATTTTTAAGCCAAGAATTGCATCACAGAATTCAAAGACGTGTGGCTTCTGAAGGTCCAGTGTAAAAGTCTGGGTAATACAAATTAAGGTCACGTAGCTAAAAATGAAAGCTGAACTAAGTCCTCTCCCGTTCCTATACATGTGATGCTGCCTTTGCTCCACCTAGTCCAGTACTGCCTCTGCTGATTGACTGCCTGTTCAGAGATTCAGAAAAAAGCCCTTTGCAGCCCTAGCTAGACACACTGGGGATCGAATCCAGGACGATTTGTATGCAAAGCAAGATGCCAGGCCACTGGGCTACAGCCATCACACCTTCAGCGAAGGGTGTCTACTTTGGATTACTCCATATAGCTATTTTTCAGCTTCCCCTCGCTTGGAGTAATCCTTACCTAGGAAAGCTTTTAGGCCGAGAAGAGCTTCTAATATGGTACGTGCATCCTTCTAATGCTCAAGTGCCTAAAGCAGCCATCTGGATGTTCCAGTTCAGTCCTTCCTTGCTGACACTCTGAAATCTCAGATGTCACCAAAGGATTTGTGTTTTAAAGTCACACCATAAAGTTTCTGCTCCCGCTCTTGTGAGAGACCATGACTTCCATGTCTGAACACCTCCGGTTCTTCATGGCGGTGCTACACGGCACCTGTCTGGGCTTCATCACAGAGGTACGCGTTTGTTTAGTCTGAAAGGGGAGAGAACCAGTTGTGTTTCATTAAATGGGAGTAAATACTGACCGAAGTGGATCCAGAGCCTGCAATTAAGACTGTTGAGATAACAGAGGCATTATGAAAGTAAGAAGGACCATACCGCATCGGGACAAAGGCCTAATTGGGTTCAGCATTTTTTTCTCATAGTAGCCAACCCAAAGCCTCAATGGGAAGCTCAGAAGTAATGGATGTGTCTCTCTCTTGTTTCCCAGCAACAGGCATTAAGAGGCGTGGAATCTCTGAAGCAACGCACAAAAGACTTGGAGAGCCTTCTTGTCATTCTTGGGAGAGGCAGATTTTTACCACCTCCAGATATTCTCTTACAACTTCTCTTCTTCCCACCAGTAGTTGCTGAATGGAGCCCACAGGCCAGAGTGAGGAACTGAAACCACATCAGTCAGTTAAGGTGCAAACCAGGTCAAAAGACAACCAAGATGCAGGAAAGTTCCTGAGCTGAGGAAGACTGTCTGGCTCCAGAAAGCCCTTTCCTACTCCTTCACATTCAGCAAGAGCCGATGACCAGCCTGCAAATGCGATTCACAGGGCCTTGGTGCTTCAGAAGCAAGACTCACTGCGTAGAGGAGAGGCATGAGAAGCGTTGGTGAGATCTTGCCGTTGTGGGTTTTTTGTGTCACCTGGACACAGTTCTGGAGAACCTGCATGGTAGAATTACTCTGGTTACAGAGAAAATCCACAGTCTGTTCTAAAATTCCCACGATTCATCATGTCTTCTCTTGTCATCTGGACCTGGGATTGCCATTTTACTATTGGTGGTATGGAAACCCCATAGAGTCTCCAGGCAAGAGTGGTTGTGGATGTGGCCACTTCTAGCTTTCCCTCTCTACTGCCTCAGAACCCTAGCAACAGATGTGTCATTGATTACTTTATTCCCATTGGCCAAGCAGTGTGTCAGTCTCCCTGTTTACATTTAGAAACAAGGAGAAAAATGCAAATACCTGGAGGGAGGAGGAGGGAATCATGGGAAAGCTTTATTTACCAAAAAGGTTTGTGGGGGCTAGAAAGTGCTACAGACACGCAGGTACACTCGGAAGGGGGAACCCGCCTCAGGACCACAGTGGACCAATCAGGAGGTGGCTGCAGTGATCCATAGACAAAAATAGGAAAAGGAAACCATGTTGTCCTGTAACCACACAATTATTATTATTATTATTATTATTATTATTATTATTATTATTATTAT